TCTTTAGCTGTAAATTTAGTTCCTTACTCTTGATAATATAAGAAGTAAGACATTTGAGTTTTTCTGCTCAAGTAAATTTGAGACAAATTTTCTCAATGAAAGTAATTTCCTTCTGGAAAATTACCTGCACACAAGTAGCATGGACCATAGGGAGATACAAAGCTGTTACTTGAGAGTGGCGTCTGACTGGGCCGAGTGCTAAGGAAAAGTTCTGTTCTCTGTCGTTCATGGTGCGTTTCCAGAAGGAGGTGGTGCAGTAGTGCCAGAGGAGGGTGGGTCAATCTGCATAATACCAGGATCTTTCTGAGGTAGAGTCTCCTATTGTAACCTGCTCTAAAGCAACATTGCACGTAGACAGTTTTTCTGTTCCTTTGTTACTTCATTTTTTTGATAGAGGTCAACTACTTAATTACAAATACATCAGACTTCTAACTTACTGCTTTTGATACTCAACAGTATATTTAATTTTTATACTTAATCTATAATTTTCAATATGATGACATTTGACTTAAAAATTAGCAGCCAAATATTGTAATTTTATTTTTAAAAGTGAAGAAGGCATCAGATTCTCATCCTTCTAGAAAAAAAAAAGTATTAAAAAGTATTAAGGGTTACCTAGAAACTTTAAAGCCATTTTCCCTGCATATTTTTAGGATGACTTTTTAATTAAAAAATGACAGTATCAAATGATCTGCAATAATGACTTGTTCTGACCTAACCTATTTAAAGAATTCTATCTAGAATACTCTTTTCTTGCACTATTAGGCTCATCCAGCAGTGATGGACCTTTTTCTTCTAAAGCATTTGGTATTTTCCATTCTAAAACGGTGGAAAATATCAGTATCTTTATTCATATGTCTACAGTTTTTCCCATGTGTTGCATGTTTCCTTCAGGTAGAAATCTATTCAAACACGTTATTTCCCGTATTTATTTGGAAGTGAAATGTTTTCGTTTCATTGAATTTGGTCATTCTGAAAGGAGATGACCCAACTTCCAAGCTTTGACTAAGTAAGTTAATCTTCATGAGTAATGATAAACATAAACTGGCAACAGACTGGGATCGATTCCTTTTGTTTATTTTGAAAAATTCTGGTTTCTAGATATTTTTTTTCAATTTTTTAAGAACTTTTGCTGATCCTGGATCTGAAAGATCACAAATTAGGTTACTATCTTTCCAAAAAAATATGTTGCCCATGTCAATGGTGACTGGACCTGGTTCTGTCCTTCCTGCTTGCTTATTGTGACATTTGATGAAACCAAATGAAAAAGAGTTCCCTGATCGTGTGTGATGCATTGGGGTGAAATGCATAGCTATCAGAAAAATGCATCTGTAGAGTTTGTGGTTCTAAAAATACACTGTGGAGAGGGATGCAATGGCATGTCAGGCTTTGGAGTTGTTCTGGTACGATCTTGTTTGGTGTCTGTCAGTCTGCAGTATCGTTCTCATGATGTCTTTGGAACAGCCAGGTGGCTGCTGAAAAGCCAAGCAGATCTTGGAGAATTATTTGACAGATGATCTTTCACTGTAAGTTTTAATTTCTTTAATGATTTAATCTTTAAAACTATTAAAAATATCCCAGATAAATTTTCTTTTTTGGATGATGAAACAAAAGTAAGGACCAACAAAATGCATATGGGTGATCTTGGAGAATTATTTGACAGATGATCTTTCACTGTAAGTTTTAATTTCTTTAATGATTTAATCTTTATTAAAAATATCCCAGATAAATTTTCTTCTTTTGGATGATGAAACAAAAGTAAAGACCAACAAAATACATATGGGTGACATACAGAGATACAGACCTACTAAAATTTTAAAAGAATGTGACTGTTTCCACAGCAACAGAAGAATTACTGTCACATCTGAAGCAGAACCCCATACACTGCTTTAGATTGGGGCAGGTGTTAGAGCGCCTCAGACGTCTTTAAATTCACCTGCAATAGCTCCAGACTAATCTACCACCTGATTTAGATCTCTCATCCAGGATCTGAAAATTTGACTGAGTTCTCCCTGAAACTTGTTTTAAAGTCCCCAGTACTCTTTATTGTAGAAACTCTATATATTATGATATTCTTAGGTATGACTAATCTTGCTTCTAATTCTGCCAAGTATTCCATATAATTTTTCATTTGTTTCCTGAGGCAAACAGTATTAATTCAGGCCCTTCATTTGAGAGTTTCTCTGTGGGCTTGATGATTCTTACACCCTTTTTCTGTACAGCAGGCAGGTTGTAGCTTTATTCCTCTTATCCATCTAGCAGCTCTGAAGGAGAATGCAGCAGTGTGGCCTGCAGCAAACCACTGCTCTTTGGAGTGTCATGCTAGAGAGTGCGCCACCTCTTCGGGGTGTCATTCTGTCTGGCAGCACTCCCTGGCAGCTTACAGCACCCATTATCACCTGCAGGTGGGCACTGTAATGTTTTACCTTGTTCCTCTACAACAGTTTAAAGGTGGAGTGGATTTCAGCTGCTGTCATTCTCAGAAATCTCAGATTCTACAAGATCCCCTCATCATTTCTCCATTGCTAGTCTTTCTCAAAGCAGCTATGGTGCTGAGCTACATTCTAGCATTGAAAATGTGATATTTTTTTTTAATTTATTTTTTCTTTTTTTACTGCGTTGGTTACTTTTTTCTGTATTGCTAAATCAGTGTTGGGGATTGTCGTCTTCCAGGCTTTGAACAGCATAAATCAATGGTGTAATGTATAGATTAGTTAGTTTATACTTAATTTATTTTTATGCAGTAGTGGCTACTTGACTGTATATGGAGTTTAGGTGACCCTCATATGCACTGAAAACCTAGTGCATCCTGAAATAACTGGATTTATATTTTTTCTTGCCAGCTGAACTACAATGCTTGTGTACAGTAGAGAGGGAGCCCCCAGGAAAAAGGACTTCTGTTGCTGTGACTGCTCCTCTCAGGCCATTCTTGATACTCATCTTTCTATAGGATGGGATAGTGTTTGTCATAGAAAGGGAGGAGAGACCCTGGCATTTCCAGATAAGGTGTTGGCCAAGAGTGGGCTACCAATTTCCAAATGCTTTCTGACTCCCAGCTGGCTCCTTGCCTGCGTTAGGTGGCCTGGAAGTGGGCTGGATGGGATTTTTGTGCTTCATAGCTTTCTGGCTGTAGTTTAAAAATTCAGATTTGTTGATCCCATCGTTTTGGCTCAGAGATGTGTTAACAAGCCTTAGTGAGAGATCTGCCTTTCCTAATGTGTAGACGAATGTGAACTCTGAAGGGGATGAGCCCTTTTTGAATTCAGTGGGGTGAGTGCAACTAGTTTAAATTTTTCTGAAGTGACCGAGATATTTTTCAAAATGAAAAAGATGATGTTTCCACAGGGCAGTAAAGCATTCTCTCTTCTACTTGATAAAAAACAAGTATTTGAAGAGTTTGAAAATAAATTTTCAAGCACTTGAATAAAAGTGGTTTTCTTTCTTTAGTCTATAAAATTGAAGAAAAAATTGAAGAAGTAAAAAATATCTATGTAAGTGTTTTAAGTAATAATATTAGTGGTGCTATGCAATGGAATATAACAGAAGGGGAAGAAGTGAATCTTTGATTTCTCTGACTGAATTGTGTGTTCATTTAAATTTTCTTTTAGGTACACTCATTCCATTTTTCAATCTGTTTTTCATCTGAGCTAGGTAACAGAAACCATATTATCAGAAAACTGCAAAAAATAGCTTTGCGTGTCCTCATTATACCTACCTATTTCTATCAAGGAGTAAAAGGGAACAAAAATCATTTTAGTCTTTTTCCTATTAAGATAGCAGCAAACATGAAGCTTAAAGTAATTGTGTAGATTATAAAATACAAAAGAAGCAGGAGATCCTACAAATTGACAAACATATTTTCATTTTTTGTCTCCTGTACTGAAGTGTATGTGCTGAGGCACCCGAACAATTAATTTTGCATTGCATTTAGAACAGAAATGTACAGAATGAGTTTCACCAAAAGTGTAGATTACACCGAATTTAAACTGTCAGAGTAAGTTACATATGGTGCTAGAATGTGCTCTGGTTGCACATCAAACAAGATAGATGTTTTTGAAATGTTCTACAGCTGCTGTTATAAAAGGTCCCACAGCTGGTTCAGTGAGATGGATGAATCTGACTCTGCAGCAGCTTGGTAGCAATAGGTGCTGTTTCTGTTTTGCTCACCTATTGTTTTATGTCTCTGCATTTCATCATAGACCTTATGATTCTAAAACTGCTTTCTATGAATCACTCTTTGAGTAGAGTAAAAACAGAATACAGATTCGGATCTGCACCTAAAAATTCACTTTTAATTTTGTTTCTTTAAAATAGTGTTACCATACATAGGAACATTTAGAAAGTATATGATGGATATAATTGGATTTCATTGCAATGACTGTGTGAATGATACCGTGTAAAGCAAAAACTATATTATATTTCATGGTTCTGATTTCAATCAGCGTTTTTCAAAATCACAGTATTTTGCAGTAATACTGTTTCATCCATCTTCTGCATGACAAATAAGTCCTAAGAAATCTAACCCTTGGAAGAATTTTCCTTGGGTTAAGAGTCCTTTTCTTATTTTCTGTTTTTTTCCCTTTAATTTTTCCAAGCTTTCAGCAGCTAACTGTAACTAAATAGGCATGCATGTGTTTGGGTGGAGATGAGGGTCAAAGTATGTTTAACTTCAACTTTGAGGTTTCATCAAGAGTGTTGTATATCATCACTGCAGTTCAGAGGTTGTCACTTACACAGGTAGACATTGTCCTGGGTCACCTGTCCCAGAGTATCCTGGGCTTTCGTGTCCCCCCAGTCCTCTTATGCAGAGAGAAGGGGGTGTGTGGTGAGAAACTGTGAGCACATGTGTTAGAGACTGAAAAACAAACCTTGAAAAAATGTAAACATCTGCTGGCAAGAATCAAAACTAAAAAATCTCACCAACTACTGTAAGGAGAACATCTCTCTCCCAGCAACCCAGGACATTCATACTCTAAGTATATGCAGTGTCTGGCAGAACTGTTCCAGTTACACCCAAAGTTGACCTTAGTGCAGTTTTATCCTGTCTGAGGGCTTCTCCAACAGCACGTGGTTGTATGTAATCTGAAGGGCCCAGTCCGTGTGTCACACACCATTGCCATGTGGCAGCAACCTTGTTGATTTCTGAGTTGTGTTAGTGAGGGAGTCTCTCCACAGCAGGAAATTATGCTGGCAGGATCTCTGGTTCCTGAAATAGCTGAATTGTGGCTTGGATGAGACACATTTAAGATGCTGTTAAGTGCTTTTGATGCTGGTGATAGTGAGCCTTTCAGATGGCACCCTTCTGTACTTTTGAAGGCAGTCAGTTAGTTGACATATAAAATTACTTCTGTCTTTAAAAAGGTACTGAATTTTCTGTAGCACTGAAATGTTAACCCTGGTACTTCAGTTTCACACCAACTTGTAAAATCACTTTGATTTTAATTAAGATATATGCCTATTGATCACCTCTGCAGCTCTTTGTGGAAAGTAAGTACAGATACATTATATTTCCTGTCCTGGAGAAATTACACTTTGCATTTCTTTTTGTACTTTCAATTTGATACTATAATCTTAATTTCTTATCAAACAGTTCAGTACCTGGTGCTGCTGAGGAGATAGGAGAGGAATTGAAGCTCTTGAACTTCTAAATATCCATGAATAATAGAATCATTCAAGCTGAAATGAACCGTAGGAGATCCAGCTGCCTACTTTAAGCAGAGTCAATGCTGAATTCAGGCCATGTTTAGAGGTCTGTCCAGTCAAACCTTGAAAGCCTCTAAGGACAAAGATTCTGCAACTTCTCTGGGCTTCTTTCCTAGTTTAATTGTCATCATCATAGTGAATTTTTGTTTGTTCATCTCTAGTTGGAACCTCCCTTGTGTCAATCTGTGACCACTGTCTCTTGTTTTTCTGCTATATATCTCAGTAGAGAGCCTGGCTCCATCTTCTCAGCCATCTCCTTGCAGGTATTGGCAGGCTGCTATTAGGACGCCCCTCAGTCTTCTGTTCCCCAGGCTGAACAAGCCCTGTGCCCTCAGCCTTTAAGTAAATATTCGGTGCCTGACCATCTTGGTGCCCCTTCTCTAAACACACCTAATATTCTCAGATCTTTCTTGTGGGGCACAAAACTGGACACAGGATCCAGATGCAGACTAACAAGCGCTGAATTAAAAAAAAATAATCTTTTGTCTCACTCAGCAGGAGCCTAGACAGCAGTTACCATGCAGTACACAGTTTGCTCTCATAGCTGCCATGCTCGGATTCAGCTTGCTGTCCACCTATTTTAGGAGAGCTGCTACCAAGCTGGTTGGTCTCCAGTCTGCGTGTGGACCTTGCAGGTTTTACCGCCCTGTGCAGGACTTTTCTGATTGTTACGAGGTCCCTGTTTGCCTGTTCTTGTCTTTCTAGGCCCCCTCTGAATGGCCATCCTGGCCTGAAGCATCTTGATTGTATCCCCCAATTTGGCGTTGTCAGTGAATTTGATCAGGGTGCATCCCTCCTTCAGCTTTAATGCTGCTTATTGCTTATGGCTCCAAGAAAAACAAAAGGACTCGGGATCTCAAGGACCTGATGTTTTTTGGGCTTACCTAAACTTAAAGATTAGTACAGATTCCAGACAAACCAGAATTTCAGAAGATACCATGAATACCTCCATATGCTGGACATATTCCAAAACACAGGTCCTTTAGTCTTACAACCTTATCTATTTTTTTCTGTTCTGGAATAATTTGGTGCATAGAAAAGACTTCAAATTAATTTTTTCATTTGATGCTGGAGTTAGGAAACAATCCTGATTTCCTCTTTGGAAATTTGTAAATGGTTAAGATCCTGATGTAATAAACAAATGTCAGCTGTCTTAAAAAGAATTAGGTTGTTTGAATAAATGAAATTAATTTTCTTACCTAGCTGGGGTTTTTTGTTTGTTTTGTTTTATTTTACAGTGGGTTCCAGTCTTGCAAGACTTCAGGAATAAAGACACACTCTGGGGCTTTGTACCATATCAAAATGACAAATCTTCAGCGGAAATTTCATTTCCAATTACGCTTCATATTGGAGATTACAATATGGATGGCTACCCAGATGCTCTTGCTATACTAAAAAACACATCTGGAAGGTAGAGTATACGTAAACCTAGAAATAATGACCATCAAATGCATGTTCAATAATCAGTCATACAAATTATTAATTTCAGTGCATCTCATTTTATCAAGTGAACAAGGCTTTTGACCTCTGCTAAATGTTTCCCTCTTAAAGAGGTATGCCTTTGCGTGGTGTATTCAGGATGCTTAATTGCAGAGACTCAGACTGTGACTCCTGCTGAGGAATTGCACAGAGATGTGGATTATGAACTACTGTTTTAGGCACTCTCCAGATCACAGGAGCTGATTATCTCTCCTTCCTCTCCCAAATCATCTTCTCTAAAACCCTGACCTCAGCTTTCAGTGTTGGCTTGTGACATGGCGCTGCTGAGAGCTGGGGAACCTGTTCCATGCTGTCACGGGGAGTGAACACTGATTGATGACTGCTAAAAAATGCAATAGTCTTTTGCCCCTTTTGAGAACCAGGGATTTTTAGATAACACCTAGTAACTTACCAGTGATTTTATATTGTCAGATTTAACTGAAATAAATAAAATCTGCCTCTCCCCACAAAAAAAGAAGCTTCTAACCTTTCCTATTAAATTTGTCATTGTAATCTTTCTTCTCCTTTTTTTTTAATTCATTACTTGCTTTCCCACTCCTTTATATTGCTACCAGCTGGTGTTAGGTGGGAGAGGGCAGGTGCTGATGCTTACAGGGAGGCTGTTGTACACTGAGGAGTTAGTGATCCACATAACAGTTGACCTGAGTAGGTGTGTGTCTGTGCTGTTCTGCTCGTATCACTTGGCTGCAGGATAAACTTAGCCAGCTCATCGTAACGGAGAAGCCTGTAGGCAGCCCTCACTTGGCACCTGGTGGTGATACCACTGGCATGTCCTTGTCTTTACCTTGAAGTGAAGCAGCATGTTTTTATCGGAACATTCTTTTGCTTGACAGTAGAAATGATGAATAGAATTGTTTGCTTCTAAGAAAACCTAAAAGAGCTCTAGAGACCATAATGCCTAGCTACAGAGAGGATATGTGCAGCATGCCGTGCCCTACCTAGACATCTGTCTGATGGTACACAACTTGTGTTTTCCAGCATCTGAAGAGATGTAAGATTATGTGTGCTATCCCCTTTTTCTTCCTCATGTCATTGTTTGTATAAGGTATTTTAATCAATACGTTATGGAGTCTCAACATCTTCCATACTGGGATCTAGGGCAAATACTTGCACTAGTGCATTACAAGGCAAACTAAGTCTCTCTTACAGGTGTATTTATTACCATCCCCTGTATGGTATTTTGGATGAGCTTGGGTGCAGGTTCATAGTTTGAATTAATACTCCGTAAGAAGAACTGAGGAGCTCAGAACAGTACATAGGCAGAATTTAGATGCTGAAGTCAAAGTCGTCAATTCAGATCTTCTAGTGGTTGCTGAAGCATGTCAGCCACTGACATTTTTGTGTTCGAGTTCCTCAGATACTGATACTAACAGTGACCCAGTTTGGAGAGCGACATGCCTGTATTCATCCTACACGGTGTGATTCAGAGACAAGGCAGTGAGCAGCTGAGCTCTCTCTGTACCTCTGAGCCTTAAAATAACTACCACAACAGCTGTTTATATTCAGATATGGCAGAGGAGGAGGAGGTGTTGCTGTTACTGCCCAGAACTTGCACAGGCACAGTTAAAGCACTAGGGTCCCAGTGTCAGGTTTTTTTACCACACAGCCTTGCTTAACTGGGAGTTTGCATGTTCTGTTCAGCAGTCTTTGAATACAGACTGTAAACAGTCTAAAGGGCAGATGAGAACCAAAGTCTTGTCTTTTCTGTAGAAATACCATGACATCTAAACTATAAAGTTCTTTTTGCCTTTGTTTTTACTGAAGCCCCACAAATCTTGTGTCTTAAACTGTACTGTAGACTAGTGTGTGTATCCTAATGGCTAGCACACTTCAGGAGGACTTTATTAAGATTTATGGAGTTCAGAAGTTTATTTGAAGTTATTTTATCTTTTAAGGTTCTTAGGAGCCTCTCTCCTCTGGCAATGTAATATTATATAAAAGATTTAACTAGGCTATAACTAGTTACTCCTGTAAAAGCACAGGAACTTACCTGTGTCTCATTGCAATGAATTTCCATGATACACTTTTATCTTTGTTCTCCTTCCTTCTGAAATTGTTTGTTTATTCAGTTGAGTGCATCTTAAAGTTATTTCGTAACTTGACTTCAAAGTTAAGTGACACAGTAAGGCATAAGGACTGAAGGTACTGACAGATGATTTGACAGGCTATTAAAAGGGAGGTTCAGAGAGCTGAGGAAACCTGGCAAAGGAAGAGTAAGTAAACTAAGATTTAAGAAATACGTTGCATGTTAACTTCCTTTTACAGTGTCTAACTGGGTCATAGAGTGGAGAGAATTAAAACAGTGTGGGAATTAAATTAAAAGCTCTTTTTAAATCAGAGCAAATAAGAATGAAAACCTTATTTAATTGATTTTAAACACTTCTCGATCAAGCTGTTTATTTCTTTCTCTGAAGCCTTTCATGCTACATCTACAGATCTAATTTCAGTGATTGATTACTGTGATTAAATGATAAAAGCATTTTTATAAACTCTTGACCTCAATCTGTGCTATAGTCTAGGAACCGTTCTCCTAGTGGCTCCCTGTAACTTAAAGAAATTGAAGGAGGCAGAAGCCATTCTATTAATCTGAAAATATACTGATACGTGATAATAGAAGAATATGGTTAAAATCAGTTACATGCTTTCAATGCAATTGAGGAAAGTACTTTCGGATCAAATCCTTAAAAATACCTACCAAACACTGAAATAGTTTGGAATCATGTTGGTTTACTGTTCTTCCAGGTGAGTCAGTCAGGAAAATGATTAATAGCTTTGAGTGTTCTTAGAACTGCCGTAAGACTACACTGTTTCATCTCCTGCCATATTCCTTTTGATTTCAAATAAAAGCGTGTAATATTCTGATAGCATGGAGACATTCCTTAACAGAGACAACATTAAAAAAGGAATCTTGTGGTTGCAAGTGTATTGGGGTTTTGAACCCAGAGACTCAGTAAATTGCAAGAGGTGAAGATGCTAAATTCACAATCAATTCTTCCGTGTTTATTTGTCCATTATGAATGACTTTTAACTTCTGACTTAAGTGAGAACTGTGCCAACATAGTTACTAAATAGACTGGCTAACTGATACTCTTACAAAATTCAAAGAGCATGCCTTGGGAGTATCCTTCACGATTCTTGCTCAAAGTTTCTGAAAGCTTTCACTTTTTTGCTGTGAGTTAGAATCACAACAGCCTGAAAATGAGAAATCAGGATATTTGAAGGCACTGAGCATACTGGAGGAGTATCTGCTATTATATGTGCATTTATACTAAAAACAGAAGCAAAATGAGAGGGGGAAAATACCAGAAAATCTTCCATCGACAGGGAAATAAAGATGTTTTCACTCCAACCATCTCTTTATTTGAGCTTGCACCTCACTGTGGACAGCTGTGAGGGATGGCTCGGTGTTGGTCTGAGACTTGCTTCTGCACAGTCAGTGAAACAACAGCTCCACATCATACATGAGCCATGGGTCAGCCTGTGCAGTGCACGCTAGGCTCTCTCCCCACAAAGATGAGTGTTTGTTACCTCAGTAGATGGGTCGTTAGCCCACTCCCCAAAGATTGCTGAAGCATTTGGGTTGGCAGGGGGTCCAGCAGGTAACCACGCATGGCAGAGATCCCTTAAGGGCACCAGTATACCCTGTGCAAGTGGTGGGGAAAGCTTCAGGGCCAAGGCAGAGAGGGCCCAGCCTTCCCTGAGTCAGCATTTCCAAAATATGCCAAGCTGCCATTTTCAAAACACATTGATTCAACAGCATTTTCAAAACCTGCTGAGTCGGTGTTTTCAGCACACCACAGGTCGGTGGTTTCAGAACGTGCCAAGTAAGCGTCTTCAGAATATTGTTACAAGGAAGTATTTGCTTAAGTGTCTCAGAAACAGTGAATTAATATTACTCTGATAGTGACAGTTGATAGTGGGTACAAAAAATGTGACTTTCATTCCCATCCCAAAGTATTAAGAAAATATTTCCATTACTTTTCTACATATACTGGAAATAACACATCTGTGCAGCACTTCAGCATTGATTTTAAGGTTTTACCATTGTAGCAGTGTCTGTCTTTATGTATTTTCCCAAATTTAAAAAAGGGAGTGTATGTCAAGGTGACGAAAAAGAGAAATTGAAACATTTTGCGTAGCTCAGGTTGTCACCTTTCCTTATAGTTGGTTAATCTGATATTATACTTATGTAATACATGAAATAAATGTGAGCACTTAACAATTTCAAGTTATAATTATGAGTTCTCAGATACAGGTAATACAATGTCTTAAGTATTGCAGATTACCTCATTTAATTTGGTGTCAGAAATGTTTTTTTCTTGGGGTAAATGTTTTGCCATTCTCTAATTTTTTCTGAAATGGATGGAGCAGAAGTATCAATATTGTAGGATATGATTCTTACGAGTAGCGAATTATCTGAAATATACCATAGAAACAAAGAAAATTAAAACCTTTCCTAAGGATAAGTGCTTGTGCGTGTGCATGTGTGTGACTGCATCCTGGAGGCACTGGATGCTGTTGAGATACAGAGAAGCACCTTGTCACCCTCTGAAACAGCAGTATCAAGGTCATCATGAAGAAGTGGTTTTGGTTATTGCCCTGGGCTCTGATATGCTTTGCTAGCTTTACAGAACATCGTCTGCTCCATCTCCTGGCTCTGCCCCCAGAAAGAGCGGAGGAAACTTCATCTGCTCCCATTGCCAAGGCAGTGATGGATTCTTGTGGGCTCCCAGGATACCTGGGAGACCTGCCAAAGAATCAGACTCCCAGTTGGTCAAGTCTGAAGGTTTTCACCATTCCAGGGAGAGTGGCAGCTTTACGGTGTCGGAGACGGCGTGTAATGCTGTTAGCCATCAGCATGCACATAGGAAGGTTGTTTCCCCCCACTGACCAATGGACTCGTATTAGAGAAATTCTTCAGAAAGGAGATTTTACTATGCTAGACCTGGTGCTCTGCTGGTTTGATTTGTTTCCTGTTTCGGTATTACAGCCTGTCTTTCTGCCTGTAGTTGTTGTATGTCAGCAAATGTCCAGTTTGGTTTGTCTTGTCCTGTTTTTACTGTGCTAGTAGGTTGGGTTTTCTATTTTGCTTTGAAACAGTAGGAAAATACCAATAAAGATTTGGTCTAGTTTTAATTTTGTTTAAAACATCATGCAACGTGTAAGAAAATGTATTAATGGAGCTGGGGTGGGAGGAAATTGTCATAAAATAATGACACTGACACTTTTTAAGTAGTGTTAAAGCTGAAGGACAGTGGGGGGATTAAGGAAGATAACAGTTAAGTGCACTTGTACTTGTTTTGGAATGAAGTAAGAATATGTTCAGTCTTCTGAGTGGATGGTTAGTGAAATG